CCTTTTTTTTCTGATGTTCAGCTTTCTGGCTTTTCACGTAAATCAAGCAAATGAGCAAGCGCATGAAATTCAGCAGTAAAATGCCACTCAATGTGTCCCTGAAATCACTGTAATTATGCATGCAGATTAAGTGCCTAATTGTGTGCAGAGCTGTCTGGGAAATGTGGTCATAAATACTGGAGCTACAAAGTCCCAGCGTGAGATTTAGTTCCCAGGTATTGTCCTCAGGAGTTTGCTCAGCATTAAATCAGCTAGCCTGCAATACTGAAACTATTGTATGTCTGTTGTTACATTTTATGAACATCTTACCCTTGGAAGTATGAGAAATTGGGACCTCTTCTTTGGTCTTGTCAGAAGGTATTTTAGTGAACTCAAGGATATTAGGCTATGAATAGCCACAGCTTTATTAAAACAGCAGTCATTTCACCAACTGCCAGTTAGGCATTGCTGCAAATTAGAGAATAACTATTATGAATCTTAAAAATATGTGTATCAACAATCGAACAAAATGCTCTACTCCTCCCTGCTACCCTCTTGTCTTCTATAATAGTATTAGTATCTATAAAAGGCAGGTAAAATCTAAGCTTATCTTGAAAGCAGCAAGAAAAAAAGTATTTGCATACAATCTAGTAGAAAATGTTCATGTCAGAAGCAAAAGAATATAAATCTCCTTTTACAATGGTCCTCTCTATATTTCTTTCAGCACTACTGAGACAGATAGAGTCAACACAACATTCTTGACTTCCTGCAGCTTTTCTTTCGGCACACTGCATTGTACTTGAGCCTGTTGATCATACCAGATAACATCACCACCATCACACTGTGGGGTTGGAAAGACACAGGAAAAAAAATGGAAGGAAAAAGAAGGTTTGCTGGAGTAAAGTCCTGAGATATAAACTCTTTCTCTAACTTCACCTCTTCATGTTACATTTGGCTCAGTCAAAGTGTTGCAGTAGTAAAGTATTTCACTTGAGGCACTCAGTGACCCTTGATTCTGTTAAGTGCTTACCAGGAGAGGTAAGCTCATTCAGAACAGCTACTAATCTCAACAGTACAAACTGAGGCTCCCATTGCTGAAATTTTATCCAAACACATCTACTTATTCAGGATTATATGTGCTTGATTTTTTCAACAGGTGTTCACTTAAACAAACATCAATGCTCTGAAAAATCCCTTAGCACCAGGAAGATTAAACAAATGACACCAAGTTTTCATTGTTTGTATATATACAATCTACAGCTGTTTATATACTTCCACTTACAGTAATGAATTAAGAGGTTCTGAAAAACTGATTAAAGCAGTAATGTGTTCTGTGTTTGAACAAGTAAGATTTAGTGGTAAAAACAGATGACTGCCCTATAACCTGTAGAGTAAGTGCTGCGTACTAAGATGTGTATGTTTGAAATAACACAACTTGTTCTTGTGTTTTACAAACATAAAGTAACCTATGAACACAACACTCCTGTAGGGAAGGTTGAAGTGTAAAGAGGAGAAAGTGAGACATACAGAAAGTCAGCACTGGGGAACCTTAATGCCAGAAGTCATGCAACATGGACTATGCAGATAGCTGATGAGGGGTTAGAAAGTCTCTGCCTCTTCACTTGCCAGCTGCACGATTGGTCCCCTGATGGTGAGTAGAGAGCCTCCAGCTCTCCTGGTGGGTATCTGTCCCCTAAACACCTGAGAAGTCTTTGGGACTCTACTTCATAGTGGCACTGAGAAGCAGTTACACAGGAGAGAGATTCAAAGGCTTTCACTGAGCTGCAGCTTGCTCAGGGCTAACCTCAGGGGGAACCAACAATCCTAAACGCAGCCATAAGGCTCAAGGGTCACTGCTAGAAAGGGCTCCTGCTGGTATCCCCATCTTTATTAAAATGCGAAAGCTTACCCTTCTTGGGACATCTAGGGTGAAGATTCATAAAGGAATAATCACCCATACACGAAAGCAGGGAACTGGGATTCCAGGGAGTGGCAACTTTTCCCCTATACTGGGCTGGAATTAAAAAAAAAAATGCTAAATAGACTCCAGTGATAAAATCAGGGAGACCCAAAGTGCCTCCAGATCAGAGGAGATGCAGGCAGAAAATTCATGTAGTAAAACGTGCTAGTTTTTTCTCACACTTTTTCCTATGAAGTCAATAAGATGGTACACTTCATCAAAGTTGAGGAACTCTATTTAAAAATGGGATGATAAGGAAAAATTCTCATTCATTTTGGAACAGTAACAACATGGGATAGAAGCCAAAGGCAGCAGGTAGATTTTGGAGGGTGCACAACAGTGCTGGCCAGGGCTGAAATTGGGAACCATGGCATTCCTGAAAAGCAAATGTTCTTAATCCTGGCTCCCACTAAAGTTGGAGCTGTGCGGAAGCTAGAAAAACCTTCCTCACAGTGTCAAGGCAGTATTTTGCTTTGATCTGCAGCAGCTCAAAACTTCTATGCAGTTCCAACTTCTGTAGAGCTTTTGCTGGCAAGTAAGGTCTCACCTGGAAAAAGGCTAGCACACCACCCTGGATGTGCTGCTGACTCAAATGTCCAGTGTTATTCTTACCACCTCAATTCCTTCTGGGGATGAAACACTGTAACTTACTCAACCCTCTGTGCTCTTCACACAGCCAGAGGAGATTTAAATAGCATTTCAGCAAATTCAGAACTGCACAGATTGATTTTGTATAACAGCTGTAATTTCCCTTTTCAAATGACGTGGTATTTAACAGGACAGCAAGAAGGTTCAAAAATATTTTCTGTTAAGTCAGAATAAATTACACAGTACTAGCAGAACAGCAGAAAGGCACATTTCTGTGAGCTAAATCATTGCAGCTGGGATACTGAGAATGCTGAATCTACTTTTTATCAAGAGAGAAAGGGAGAAAAATCAGCCATAGAGCTCTTGTTTGCTTTCATTGTAACTAGCCATGCTCTTGCCAACTTACTGCAGTGTTCCTATCTCTCATGAATATCCACATCCATCACTGGCACTAACAGGCTCAGTCATCAGAAACGCACATTTAGAAGCAGCGATTAAACAGAGACCAGAAACAAATCTGGCATCAGAATCTTTTAGCGCTACCCAAACTCAGAAATGACAAACATCCCACCACCCCTTCAGGCTTTAATCAAAGCCTTGGGATGTCAGTTAGAAGTTGTTCAGAAATCAGAACACATCTCAGAATATTTCTAAAGATGCACCTCCTCCTCAGCACCCTTATCTGGGACACATACACTACAGCCCACAAATGGAGTTCTGCCAGATTTAGTACTGTCTTGGTATTTTATTAATGCTAACTCCAAAAGACCTGATATGGCTTCAACAGTCAGTATATTTCCCCACAGCATGAGGAGAAAGAAGAAAATCATCCTCTCAATAAAAGATTGGTCACCTGTTTTTAAGAACCCATGTTCTCTGAGGATAACCCTTGACCAAGTCCTACCCATCAGAACAGGTTCTACCTAACCCGAATGTGGAACAGCCCATATAATGGAGGGGCTTTCTGGTTGTTACTGTTGTGTTTTGATGTTGTGGTGGGGTTTGGGGGTTTTGTGTGGTGGGTTGTTTTGGCAGTTTTTGTGTTGGTTGGGGTTTTTTGGGTTGCTTTTTTGTGGGTTTTTTTTTTTTTTGTATTTTTTTCTAAATTAGAGCATTTAAGAACTTTAGAGAAACATTTTTGATCTTTACCTTTCATCAGAACTTGTTTACAGAAAAGCTGTTTAGAGGAAGGAAAACCTCATGAGGATATGCCTTAACTGCCTCATGGCTTAGCATAGTGATTTTCAATAAAAGGCACTGCTTCACACACCTTTGACTCCAGAACGTGTGAAAATTCAGTTTTGTTTCAAGATTCAGGATTAACATTTGAAGGGTATACAAAGAATGCATGCAAAGCGAGATGAAAGGGAGCTTTATTCCATCACTTAATTACATTAGATAAACGAACCACCAGTCAAAAGCAGTGGAGGCAACAAAACCTGAACCACCATCACCATCTGCTGCTGTAAACAGGATCACTCATTTTGGCCACCTACCAAGACTTTCCTATTATCTTTTCCAGCACCCCGACTGACCTTTCCAAGCCAGGCACTATTACCGGAGATCGCACCTCACCCACGCCACCCCTAGCTGTGCCCTGTGCTTTATTTACCACACGCCCGCGCTCTTCACCCACTTCAGGTGAGACTGAGCAGCGCCCTGACAGTGGAAGGGAGGTCTGGAGAAGTGTTTTACCATCCCAGGGACCTCCCTTACACTTAACTGAGCCCTTAAGGAGCTTCCAAGACGGAAGCCCCCGGGCTCCTCAGAGCCCCCACACACCAGCCTAACAGCAGCCTGCCCCGGTGCCTCCAGAGGAGCAGTTTCAAGGTGCAACTTCTAACCTTGCAGCGAGCTTAAACAGCTACACGAGTCGCCCTTTCAGGCGCGCAATAGGGATGTGCCCGCGTTAAAATACTCGGCGCCAGTGCCCCGTGCTCACAGGAGCGCGACGAGGAGAAACGAGGAGCCTCGGCTTCTCGCCCTCTGCCTGAAGAGAAGGAACCCATCCTCCCGCCGCAGCGAGACCCGGCGAGACACGCCGAGCTCCCCTTGTGCCCTCCGTCACACGCTCCTGGCCCGCCTACAACTCCCAGCAGCCTGCGCGCGGGCTCCTCCTATTGGCTGTGGCCAGCAGGAAGCAATCACGGGGTGAAGGGTGAGGAGCAGGTGCAGGCGGAAGAAGCGGCAGCGGCTGCGGGCGCAGGTTTGTGCAGAGGCCGGGAGTGCGCTCAGGGGTGGGCCCGGCCCGGCGCGGCCCGGCCGGGATGAGGCGGCGGCGGTGTCATGGGGGGCGCTGGCTGCAGCGCGGCCCCTTGTGTCAGGGGCTGGGATAGGGCGGGGAAGACAGAGCCGTGGACGGCTGCGCGGGGCCTGGATCTTTAGGTTCGAGATAGGGCTGAAGGGGAGCGGGGAGCCGGCGGCGGGGCTTGCCACACGCCATCCGCAGGGTCCTGGTTGGGCGAGGGGCTGCTGAGGCCCGTGGGTACGCAAGTATGTGCGGCTGCAGCCCTAGTGCAGCGGAAAAGACGTAGTATAGCGCAGTTCCGAGCCGGTCCCAGGAGTCTGAGCTTGTCAGTTAACTTACGGGAATAGTGTGCTGGCCCCACGTCGCTGTGTAGTGCATGGAAAAAGCATGTACAGGTTGCTCCCCTCCTTGAGGGATAATAAGTTTCCCTCAGGGGATTTCAAGAGTACTTTTAAGTGTTTTGGAGATTCATTTGCTGACAGGGCATTTCTACTGTGTTTATTAGGGGCTTTTTCTTTTGCATTTGTAAAAACCTATCCCCTTCAAGGAGTCCAACATGGAAGAGTTTAAAGATGCAAGTTCACCTGAAGAATTACTTGATCACTTAAAGCTTTCTGATCAGAAGAGTTCAGAGACTGGCCCCCAAGATGCACAGAATCCCCAAAATACTGAAAGTGGATGCAGAGCATCTTCAGCCAAAGATCTCACAACAGCAGATGAGTGTTTCCATGACTGTCACGACTCCTTTGATGCAAAAGAACCTGTGTTGGATGATGAAGGGAATTTACAGAATGATGAGACTAGCTCAAGGAAGCAGACAGAACTAGATGAAGAATACTTACTAGAACTAGAAAAAGATATGCCAGAGGAAGAAAAACAGGTAATCAAAAGTTCCCATGTTGAATGTAAAAAGATATATTTTCAGTGTCACGTTTCTAAGTGGTCTGTGGCGGGCAAGAACGTGGACCTTTAAAACTCTCTTATGTGGCTGGTTTTACTGTTCTTAATTTCTTCTTTAGGTAACAAACATTTTGTTAGCTTTCCTTGCTGTTCTTAATCATCACATTCCATTGCAGATTTTTGTCTGTTTTCAGCAGTGTGTCAAGGTACTGTGACTCAAAAGAGATTATAAGAAACAAAAATCCCCCTGTTCCATGTTCTTTAGTTTGTGTGCATTCATTGTTTTCACCTAACATTTCACCTAATTGCTGCAAGGTGCTTTTCCAAAACTCAGAGCAGGTTTTGGGATAAGTTTTGTATCTGAAAGGCTAGCTCATGTAACACAACTAATTTGGATTAACGCTGAAAGTATCCCTATAGACTACTTAAGCTTTAATCAAACACAAAGCATTAAATGTCTTGTTTTGTTTACCTTCAGTGTGGTTACATTGGGCTTAACAAACTGGATAATGCTGTGAGGAATAATAAATAAGTTCTTGGAAGAAGTCCAGTAGTCTCTGTAATGATGTTTACTCCCTGTCAGTCTGTGTGAACCATGTTTTCTTGCCCCTCAGTCAGCGTTGTCACTTGACAGCAGTTAGTTTCAAGGTTCTAATATATTATGGTCATCAAGTAGCTAGAAAAAAAAAAGTATTTTTTTTCTAACCTTGGAGATAACTTATTAAATCACTTCCAGCATTAAACTCTGTTTGCTTGAGTGATGGGGTGAATTTCTGCTGGTGATTATGTTCTCATAGCAAATAGTGCAGGACTTGCTACTCATTTGTGGGTTATTTTTTTTTTCCCTAATTTTTTTCAACTTTAGTTTGCAGGTATTGGGGGAGTAAAGACACTAAACTGAAATCTGTGTCCCAATGTACAACTCATGTAATTATTTTTTAACACTATTTTTGACAAGTTAAATAGTTTCAGAAACAGATCATGTTTCAAGAACTGATCTAGTCTCTTAAAATCTGATTGAATTATCCCAACAAGCAGTTACTTGTACTGAAAATTGAAATAGTGACTGAAAATACTACTGTAGTCTTTGGCATCTGGGGAAAAGGTGGAATTCTGATGTATTGTAAATTATACGAAGGGAAGACCTCAGCAAACTTTAATAAATAGTCCTGTTGCCATAAATTGGATCTTACTTTACTAAAAGAAATAAAGGCCTTATTGGAAGGCAAGCTGCACAATTTTGATCATAAGTAACAATGAATAACTGATTATGATGAGGGAAGGAGAGAATGGAGTAAGGGAATGGTAGCTGACAAGAGAAGGCAGGCAGCATCTCAGGAAAACATTACTTCATAGGGGAAGATAGTGTATTGTGTAGCTTGATAGTTTTTATTCTGGGAACTCCGAATCACCAAGAACAGTAGAAAAACTTACTGTAATGGATGAGTACTACTGAAATGAGTCATTTGATGAAAAAGAAGGAGCAAAGGGTCATATAAAATTATTTTTTAAGTGCTTAAAATATTATGAATTAATGTATAGGGGCTTATTACTCTTTCGTACAGACAGGCTGATCTTTGCTAATTCAACTGCCTTAGTAAAGTTGGACCACACTTTCTTAAGTGTTAGCTATCCCTGACTGTGTTACATAAGTAAATAAATGCTGGCTATACCTTGCCCAAAAAAGTTGGAAACAGGGAAGGGCTTGGCAGTGACTCAACTATGCCATGGTCTTACTGTCAGCTACTGTAAATAGGGAATGAGAGGCAGAAGTATGCAGAGCTAAGATGTCACAGGTAACCAAGCATATTGTTTGTTACAAATCAGTATAGAGAAATTTGATCAAGTGATGGTTGAAGTATTTCCCTTGCTGGTAGGATGGAATTTCTGACCAAAATACATCAGTGAAGACAAAAAGGTAGTTTTTAATCTGTTGTACAGATAGTTACGTTAACGTAGAAGTTCCTTGAGATAGAACAGCAGTATGGGACTAGTGGGTGAGGGGAACATGGAATATAATCTCCTTGAAGTAGGAATGAGTCTAAACACTTGTCTACTGCTTGACCTTGTGGAAATCACTTCAATATCTATCTCTCAATTCTGATCTGTAAAATGACCATAAGAATGCTGGCCAGTTGTAATACTTTGAGATCTAATAATTAATAATGGGGGGGTGGGGAAGGAGGTAGAGGTTATTGTGTGCATCCTTTGCGACAAAAGAACCCCTGGAGGTCATCTATTCCAATGCTCTGCACAAAGATAGATCAAATACATCAGCCAGCCCAGAGCCACACTTGTATCAGAGCCTGGGAGGGCTGCACAACCTCTCTGGGCCCCTGTTCTAATTTTTAACCACCCTTCTGGTAGAAACATTTTTCCTTTTATTTAATTAGAATTGCCTTTGTTGCGACTTGTAACCACTGGCCCTTCTTTTTCTGCATGCCCACAGGAAGAGTCCGTCTTAATTTTCTCTAGTAATGAAGTCTCATTGAGCCATCTTTTCTTAAGGCTGAACTCATTTTTCCCAGGCTGTTTGCTTAGTCCATGGTCTCCAGTGTGCTGAACATCCTGGCAGCCCTCAGGACTCCTGGAGGTTGATGTCTTTGTATGGGGGTTCACCAAACCAGGGCACTCTCCAAATGCTTTCTCTTTGCTGCTGAATGCAGGGCAGTAACTCCTTTTCCTTGACTTACTCACTACAGATTAAAAACACTGCATTGCTCTTGCATCTTTTCCAGTTTAAACTAAACAGTCCTGTTTTTCTACTTGTGTTTATTGCTTACACAACAAGGAGCATTGTCATCATGAGTCATGAAGGGGCTTCTTCAGCAGCTATAACTTGAAGGCAGCTTGAGAGTTTCATAGAAATTATGTCATAGAATTGAACTTTAGAAAGAGCAGCAGGACTGGAAATTGGGTGTCTTAGTTTTCATGTTGCTCTTATTTCTGTTATTTTGTTAGGTAATCATTTAGTATTGCACATCAATTTTTGACTTCTCTAAAATGAGCAGAAGAGTTGTGACTCTTCAATACTTGCAGTCAGCTTTGTGGAACTTCGTTGAAAGTGCTATGGGAGTGCAAAATAATAACTGTATAAAGCTGGAAAGATTTCCTTAGAGAAAGTATTGAGACAGCTGCAGTTCTCATCTTTCTGTAGGTTTATTTCCAGTGGTATTGAGCAATTGTGCCCTTCAGCTTGATTTATGATTATACCTAATGAAATGGAAGGATTCCATCTCTTAGTTTCACCGTAACTACTAGACTGGGAATACTTACATTGTGAACTTTATGTTCCATAGAGAGCTTTTCAGAGTGGGTTATAGAAATGGTCTTTAAGATACAGCTATTTTTTTTTCTTAACAAAATATTGTTGGTCTCTCTTACAAGAAAAGCTTGAGAAATCCAGAAACTAGAGAGGAATTACAAGTTTACAACAGTTCTAACTATTGAAGTAGCCCATTTTCATGTTCTTACCCTGCATCACCTTACATTATCTGTGTAGTAAAACCATTATTCAGTGTTATTCCTGAATTGCCTCTCCAGCTTTCCTCATAGTATATGAAATTGATGTCTACAAATTTTATTTTCAAAAGTGAAATATTTTCTATATTTTGATTATGAAAAGAATCTGTTAAATGATGCAGCTTTTAAGAAAAAATACTGCAGTTACATTTTAACCCTCCTTCCAATTACTTCAAAGGTCATTTTTGAGAATGGCAACATGATTTTTCTTTTTTATTTGGTTAGCTGGGTTGGTTTTTTTGTTCTCAGCTGGAGAAAATGAGGCAGAAATATTCCAAACTTGTTTATTTGACTGTTTAGGTTGTGACCAGACACTCAGCAGCAGTGCTGTATTTGCTTAGGCAGTCCTTGATCAGTTATTCTCAGCCCCCTGCTGTCTCCTTCATTGTGCTAGCACACCTCTGTGAATGTGCAGTGAACCACTTACAGGGAATGATTCAGATGAAAGATAATGCTGTATTTTTAGATCAAGGGCACCGCTGGTAAAAGTAGACATCAAATGGCAGCCTTGTGATGGCATACAAGGGGAGATGGATTTTCGTCAATTACACTACTTGCCTAAATAAGAAAAACTTCCTATGAACTGTGGTTGCAGCACCAACCATAAACTATATACTCAAGTCATAAGGAAAGCTGGATTTTACCCCTGCTTAGGTCAGATTTATGGAGCTACACCTTAATGGTTTGTGGTTTGTTTCATGTTTTGTTTTTAAACTAAGCCCACTGTCATATTTTAGCAGCTTGGGTTGTTTTGAATGATGTAGAAAAGAAAACATCTCATTTAATCTGGAGATACAAAGACTGATTCTAGTCCTTGCCCTGTGTATTTATGCATATCCCATGTGCAAGCTTTATGCTAGCAGCTCCAATAAGAGCTTGAAGCAATATTAAGACAGAGACCTGCAAGATGTATTCTTAAAAACAGGTGCAGCACAGGGCCTGGTTACTTGCCTGGACTTGCAACTCTGAGCATTTTAAGAATTAAGCAGCCTGAAACAAAATTCACTTAAAGATTTTGTTGTTTCAAAAGCATGCTGGTTGCTGCCTCAGCAGAGGCACTGAGCAGTAAATTGCTTTTGATGCATTACAGACAGATTTTTCTGCTTAGTTGTCATTGACAGTGATGGCTTTGACGTTGGTCAAGTCTACAGAATTAATCAGAAGACACCCAACAGCTGCTACATGGTAATTGTTTCAGTCTGACCTGGTCCTCTTCTGGAGGGACACCCATTAATTACGAGTTTATACAGCAGCAAGATTCTGAATCCCTCATGCTGTTCCATCGTGACAGATGTTGTCTTGTTCTTTGGGCCTTGACTATCAAAGATTTAAGCACCTGGCCTAGTGAGCTCTTATTTTGGCTATAGAACACTCCCTCCTAGCTGCTGGAAGACCCTGGAATAAATATCTAGTATTCCTCAAAAGCAGTTCCCTTCTTTGGCTATTGCATGTGCATTT